TCTCCCAGAAACAACAGCCTTCAGCATTTCAGGAACTATCTGTCCTTGAACAAGGGGCTCCCAGATGAGAGGCATTTCTGTTTCATGGATCTCTAAGGCATAGCAATTAAAACTCGAAAGGTAACTTTGGCTCTCACAGTAGATGAAAACAGACTTGAAAAGTCGAGGCCAGAAGATCAGTTCTAGCTAATTCTTAGCTACATAGTGAATTCTAGGACAGCCCGGGGGGTTTATCTCAAAACCAAAAAAAAAGCAAAAGGTAAAAATATACCATATAAAAAAAGCTAAAGGGTGGGTTCTGGAGAGCTGTCTTGGGGGTTAAGAGCATGACTACAGGGGACCTGGGTTCAACTTCAAGCACCCACATTTCATTTCAGTTCTAGAGAGATCCGGTGTCCTCTCCTAGCCACCGCAGGCAATAGGCATGCACACAGTGCATAGAAACACATGCAGGCAAAACACCCATAGCAAAAAGGGTTTTGTTTTGTTTTATTTTAAAGAAAAGCTAAAAGTGTCAGTTTAGTTATATATGCTCTTAGATTTATGTATGAGCCCATTCAATGTTTATCTTTTATTTCAAGGGTTAAGTGCCATGTTTATTGTGTCTCATCTCATCTGTTAGTTTTTCAGCTTTGACATTTACGTTGGATGTCGCTGACTTTTTGTACAAAAATAATGTAATAGCTGGAGGTACTGCTGCGTGTTAAAGCACTTCCCTATAGAAGGCACCAGTCTCCAGCACAGTTAAAAGGAAGGAAGGCAGAAGAGAGAGCGAGGAAGGTGGAAGGGAGGAGGGAGGAGAGGAAAGAGGAAGGGGGGGGAAGAGAAGAAACTAGCAACTTGGCTGGATACACAGGTCACCCACTATCTTTATTTTCCCAAAATTGCCCTGTTCTCCCAAGGATGGCTGGCCACTTCCAGTAAGACATATTGCTGTAGTAGTTCTGGTGGCCACAGCGCTTAGGGGAAGGAGACTGTAGACCTGAAACTTCTGAGAAGTCAAGGAACCCTCTGATCCTGGTATGACAGGCTCATATTTCCACATTCCCAGATTCCTGTTCCCTCCATTCTGGAAGCTCAGCCCCAGGCTACACTGGTAAGTACAGCAAACAGGCCTGGGAACATTCCTGTTCTTGCCCATCTTGGCCCCCTTCCTTGTGAGATTGCATGAGAACAAGACAGCTCACCCACCTCTAATTCCAGCCCTTGCACATGACAAAACACCATTCTGCCTTAACAAACCCATCTTCATTTCCCAGCTTTCGATCACAGGGCTGGGCTCATGCATCTGGAAGTTTCCCTACATCGATGTCTCCTGGACTTGAAGGCTAATCCATTCATAAGCTTCACACTCCATCTACTTTGCAAGTCAAACACTCTGACAGCACAGCCCCAGATCGTGCGGAATACTTTTCATTAAGTAGTACAGGAAGGAGGTTTGTGAATCTGAGGGCTTCTACTGATACTTTGCTACTAGTTTGGAAAGAGCTGGAAATACACTGGCCGTAGAAGCTCCATGTAGCAGTGGGGACCTTTAGCAGCCTCCCTCTGTCTCTCCCTTATTGTAATCCCTTAACGCCATCATCATGAAAAGCCTCTTATCACAGAGAACCATCTTGTCTCTACCATCTTAATATTTCTGAGAATCATACAGTTCTGTGGCTTGTATCAGCACTCCAGCTTGTTCTCTCCCCATATAGACAGACAACATCCCCTATAGACCATCTTTCTCCCCCTAGAGACAGGCAGCATCCTCTTTAGACCTTCTTTCTCCCCCTAGAGACAGGCAGCATCCTCTTTAGACCTTCTTTCTCCCCCTAGAGACAGGCAACATCCCCCTATAGGCCTTCTTCTCTCCCCCCTATGGACCGCATCTGTTTACTCTTTCATTGATGATGTTTATCAGAAGATGTAGTACTCAGGAAAGAACCACAACAGCATGTCCAGTAAACACTGACGGGGACAGAAAGGAAGGGGAAAAAAATCTTCATACTAGAATCAATTTTCAGAACTGCGACTAGCCAGCTTGAAGGTAGCCTTTGCCTCTCTAAACTTAGTCTGTCCCTCTGTAAAATAAAGTATAGAGACAATATTGACTCCATGACCCTTTTTCTGCTTCAAAATGCTATTATTATCTAATTTACAGTGCCCTTCCATTCATGAATTGACTCTAGCACCCACCTCCTCAACAGTAAGTTAATGCCTACAACAGCAAAATAAGGTAAAACACCAAGGATAAATATATGAGAAAATATTTAAGAGTATATATGAGAAACACAACTATCTGCTAAATATATGAAAAATGTTCAACTTCACTAGCAAATCAGGAAAAGTAACACCAACAGAGGCAAGCAGATCTCTGTGGGTTTAAGACCAGCCTGGGGTAGAGAGTTCCCGGATGACCAGTCTCTAAATTTCAGGTTAAAGTAAGATACTATTTCTTCTCCATCAAATTGGTAAATGTTAAGAGACACTGACAGCAACTATCTGTGAGGATGTGGGAAGTGGAAGCTAATTCAACAGGCTTTGTAGGGACAATTTCACATTATCTACCAAAGTTAAGCTTGGTGCTCTCTGATGTAGAGCTGTAAGCCCATGAAATAGATTCACACTGTGTTATATCACTGTGGAGGTAGCATGGTGAGGAGAGGACACGACTATACTCAAACTTGTTTTCTACAGGACAGTAGGTTAGAATATGTTTTGTCCTTGTATTTAAAATAGAAAGAAAGAAAGGAAGGAAGGAAGGAAGGAAGGAAGGAAGGAAGGAAGGAAGGAAGAAAGAAAGAAAGAAAGAAAGAAAGAAAAAGGTTAGCTCTTCTGTCCCCCAGAAACTGTAATTTGCATCTGGCAGCATCCCAGACCACAGCTTTCCTCCCTCTCACACCTGCATGATGCTCCAAGGTGGAAGTGTATTTCCCTGGCTTCCCTGCCACCCTTCAAACACACCAACAGAAGGCCTATAAAAGTCTGGACCCTAACCTAATGTCTTTTGCGTCTGAGTGAAGCATGTAATCAAGGCTGAGAAACAGAGTACCCTGAGCAATGGGAGGAGCCCACACTTCTCCCTTGCAGGCAACGTCCACCCGATCTTCAGTATTTCTTAGGCTCTAAGCAGGGAAGGGATGGGGGGAATTCCAGGTCAACTATAGTACAAGGAAAACAAGTCCATTAGTATGTAGGGAGCTATTTGTCTTCAAGTCTAAACAAGACCTGAGCTCTGAAGAGGGGAGCACTGCCTGATGAAGAAAGTGGGGTGCCCAGGGGAACCTCAATCCTTGCAGTTTAGAATACCAGTGAGGGCCCAACAAGTTCCAGAGAATAGACAGTTCAGACACAAAACACGAACGTTACCTGCAAGTATACAGGTTTTCTAAACATATTAACACTGAACTTAAAAAGGGGGGGGGGGAATGTAGGTTTGAACCTATTCATTTTCTATGTTGGAAGTTTTGTTGACCTTAATTTTTTTTTAACATATTCATCTCTGTATAAGTGCAGACATAAAGAGAAGACTAACTAAAAGCAACTGGGAAACATGTTTATGGAAATTACATACAGATATTAGACTGAATGGTTAACTCCTAAATACACACACAAAAACAAACACCTAGAGCTGGCCACACTGGGGACTAAAAGCCTTGAGCACCCTGGATGGTGAGTGCTTCCCCTCCCCCAGGAGCCCACTGTTTTCTTAGGTACAACCCCATGTCTATGCTTGGCATCCCCATTCCCAGGATGTTCCTAGAGGTAGTCACTGTCCCGGTATTCCAACAATAAAGAATGGGACATCAAAAACCAAGTCAGCCTGCCGAAGGTCATGCAGTCCTGAAAATAAGACAGGTCTACAGACGGGCTACACAAAGTTTGCCCTGCAAATCTCTGAGGTCAGCAGCACAAACGGAACAACTGAACAACCGTATTGAGAGCATTTCCACAACTGTTCGGGATGTATTCCCTTCTGAGTGTATTCTTTCTCTAAAGCACACGGCAATAGAGCTGTGGCTTTGCTTCTAAGAAGGCTCTTTGAGGCAGAGAATTCAAAACTGGTTTGCCCAGACTCCTAGTTGAACCGGTGGGAGGAAGTGAAAAGCAGAGGCCCACAACCTGCTGGCAGAGCCAACTCACAGCAAACTCCAGTCCTTGGCTTCTCATGCTCTCCTAACACTGGTGTCACATTAATCCCCAGGCTGAGCATAAGCCGGAACCTCACACTCAGTATAAACAGCAACCCACCAATGAAATCCCTCAGACATTTTCCCAGTGACTCCTAAAATGCATTGCTCCTTCATCCCTAAAAGGTCACTCAAGATCTAGCCCCACCTCTTGGCCGGGTTTGTATTGGATGGGTACTTGTCAGGGAAGATGTCATGTTCTCCCTCACCCCTGGCCTTTATTCTCTCTCTCTCTCTCTCTCTCTCTCTCTCTCTCTCTCTCTCTCTCTCTCTCTCTCTCTCTCTCTCTCTCTCTCTCTCTCCAGGGTAGCTCTGCATAGCTGTCCTGAAATTCACTCTATAGTGCAGGCTGGCCTCAAACTCAGAGATCTGCCTGCCTCTGCTCCTGCGTGCTGGGATTAAAGGAGTGTGCCGCCACCAACAGCCCTGCTACCCTACATCTCTATCCAAAGCAACTATACATGTTTCCTTCCTCCATGTCATTCCTAACCTACTCCGCTCATCCCTCATTTTATGTTACCTCCTCCCAGAAGCCCTCTGACTTCTTATGTTTCTGCACTTCCGTGTTACTGTTCTTCCCCTGCCATAGAAACTAAGATGATACCTTATGTGTGATTACCTAACTAACAACTTTTCTGCATCCCCAATCAGGCCATGAAATCATGTGGGCCTGGACCTATCTTCAGGACCTGGACTCTGGATCTAGCAGAGTGCTCAAGTGTAAATAACTGATCAAATGAGTATTTGAAACCAGTTAACACAGCTTTAGTTATGACAGGTCTGCTTCAGACACTGCAGACAGATCAAGAAGTTAGGCCATCTGCCTTGGTATTAATTATAGTCTATTTGCCACAGCAATTTTTATGTATACAGACTTTTTTTACACGTAAGCACAGATATAGGGAGTGACATTTGAGGTGGGTCTGGGTTGCATACAACCGGAGCAGGACATCTGTCTCTATGGTCCCATCAAGGCTTCTGCAGTGCCAGATTCAGGGGTGGTCTTGCAGCTGCTCCTTTAGGAGAATAAATAGACATGAAAAGATTTTGGATTGCAAAGGAACACGAGACCTGCCATCCTAAGACAACCCTCAAGGAGATTCCAAAAGCTATTCTGAATATTGACAAAAGCAGAGGGAGAGGGGAGAGGTCTTCCTTTCCTTTGTCCTTGATCTCAGAAGAACTACAAATAATGCAGCTTCTATTGCTTTGACATCACATGCACGCAGGCATACCAACCCCCACACCAGCAGCCTCTGATACCATTACCCTCTGACAACATCAGCCTCTAACACCATCACCCCACACTTGTCATCACTCTTCAACACTATCCCAACACCATCAGCCCCTCACACCATCACTCCTTCATCCCACTACACACATACCATCACCCCTACGCATACCTCTACCATACATACCATCACCCCTCAACATCATCATCCCCAATACATGCACCGTCACCCTGCCCCCCCCCCAAATACACATACACACACACACACACACACACACACACACACACACACACACCATCATCCTAGCTCTCAAAATTGGTCCAGGGATCAGTAGCAACTACATAACCTGAGGACTTGCTGGTAATGCAAATGCTGGCCCCACCCTAGACACACTGAATCAAAATCTCTGGGGGTGGGGGCTGGCCACCTGTGTTTTCTCAAGCCCTCCAGGTGACTTTGATGCATGCTCAAAGTTGAGAGCCACTGCCTGCTTCTTTATCTTTACAGCCCTAGCTGCAAGCCCAGTTCTCTTGTTTATTTATTTAAACACTTTAGTTCTTTTCCTTCCTCCTGGAAGGATTTCAATTGCATGAAAGCAGATACCTATATGCTCTCTGCAACTTCGAGCTTCTCATAAATAACCATAGAGTCAATAAACCATTCTTCCTATATATCTACTTGTTTCCCCCAGTTTCTCAGGAGCTGGCCCTGAACCATCCAGGAAAGAGTTAAACCTCCTTGTGAGTCATCTAGCCAAGCTCTGGTTATCTCAATGAAAGATAAGGCTTCAAGGACAGGCGATGAGACACAACAGCTTGGTGCAACTTTTATCCCCTTTGCCTCAATCCCAGAGGCTGGAATGCTCACTTAAAACCACTCTGAGCCCACCTTTCCAGACCTCTGTGTGTGTGTGTGATACAATTCCATAGTGGGGACATCTCAGGCTCACGGACAGGCCCGTGAATTCTGTGCACCAGTCTCCCTGTGGTCCTCTCTTCCTCCAAGCAATCAGTCACCCAGCAAGTCACAGCCAGAGAGGTGGGAACCAGCTGTAATAGGATATACACAATCAGATTTGAAGGTGGCAGAGCAGCGGGGCTCCACAGTCCCTCCTTGGTATGTTGAAGGAGCAGGAAAGGTGGATCTTAGGAGAAAGCAAGAGCCATTCCTAACCCCAAGCAGCACTCTCTTTGTCCCAGGTGATCTCACCAAACACCTAAAATATCTAGACTGGTACTGGGATGTTTTCTTCACAGGCACAGAGAATGAATCTTCCAAGGTTAAACAGTGACTCCCGACCTGTGACCCAGCTCTAACCCTGGAGCCCTTCCTTTGTTGTTGTTGTTTTTTGTTGTTGTTGTCTTGAGACAAGGTCACACTCTGCAGCCCTGGATGGTCTGGAACTTGCTTTGTAAACCAGGCTGCAATTGAACTCCTGGAGATGCACCTGCGTCTGCCTCCTGAATGTTGGGATTAAAAACAAGCACCTGGCTAGAGAAAGGACTTTGCAGTTAAGAATACTTTGTGCTCTTCCAGAAGTTTCCCCACCCACATAGCAGCTCACAGCCCCTCTCTAATTCCAGGTCCAGAAGACCAGATGTTCTCTTCAGGCCTCCAGGGGTACCAGTCACACAAGTAGATTTTCTCCTTCCAGATTGTTCTCAGTGCACAAACATCAAGTAAACCGTAATAGACACATAAAATGTACAAATCAAGCTTGTGGTTTGAAAGAAGATGCCTCCCAAAGAGAATGGTACTATTAGAAGGTGTGGCCCTGTTAGAGGAAGTGTGTCACCATGGGAGTGAGCTTTGAGGTCTTTTTCTCAAATTTTACTCGGTGTGACAGTCAGGTGACATTCTGTTGCCTTCTGGTTAAGATGTAGACAGCACCATATCTACCTGCCCACTGCCATGCTCCCCTTCATGATCACAATGGACTGAACCTCTAAAACTATAAGCAAGCCACCCTCAATTGAATGTTTTCTTTATAAGAGTTGCTGTGACCACAATGTCTCTTCACAGCAGTAAAAACCCAAACCAACACAGAAGTTGGTACCGGGGACTGGAGTACTGCTATGATAGGCCTGGCCATGCTCTTGTTTGGAGTGGTGTGAACTTTGGTACTTTGGGTTGGGAAAGCAGTGGAATGCTCTGAGCCAGTGCTTAATGGGTCATGCTAGTAGGAGGAGCGTGAAAGACAATGGTGCTGATAATGATTGGAAATATCGGGATCTGGCTCAAAAGGTTTCAGAGAAGAATCTTAGTATGTTGCCATTCTTGTAATGTTTTGGTAAAGGAAGTGACTTCTTTTTGCCCTTGTCTGAAGTCTGCCTCAGGATGAAATGAAGAATTTTGGATTAATTCCATTGGCAGAAGAAATCTCAAAATGGGCTAGTATAGACAGACTCTGCCGTGTGGATATTAGTGGTAAATCTAATGAAGACTTTTATAATGAGAAGGAGCAAGCTGAGCAAGGAAAAATATTTGAGAAGAAAGGGGCACCAGAAAATGGAATGGAGCTAAATCCTCTGTTCAAGGAGATAAATGCATTAAGAACTGGAATAAAGGGAGTGGTGACCTTGGGGCATGATCCCGCCCAGCTATGCTTCCAACCTATGACAAGGAACTGAAGAAAATCTTAGAGCTGGGTGTAGTGGGGCATACCTTTAGTCCATGCACTGGGAAGGCAGAAGCTGGCAGATCTGAGTTTGAGGCCAGCCTGGCCTACAGAGCAAGTTTCAGGACAGTCAAGCCTAGGCAGCGTAAGACAGGATGTAATTGAATGAGGGTCCATGGTCCAGTCCCAGCAAGCAGTAGAACTTGACAGCTCTGACCATGTGGTTCTGGCTTTAGAGTTGAGGAAAAAAGAAAGGAGTTATGGAATCTCTCTCTATGGCTAGGGAAAGCCACTAAGTCCTGGCTTATGTCAGGGGTCCCTGAATGGAGGCCAAGTAGAGGGGCTGTTGCACAAAGTTGTGAAGTTGAAGCCTGGCTTACCTTGGAGAACCCAAGATGTTAGAGATGCCAGAGTCATGGGCTACCTGCTGAGGAAAGATGCTAACAGGGAGACCAAGAGAAAGAAGTGTGTTGCGTCAACAAAGCTGAAGGGAATCCCAGACATGAAGAGCATTTGACATCAGACTTCATAGATGCAGAGTTTGGAGTTTCCCAGCTGGTTTTCAGTCTTGCTTTGATCCAACATTTCCTCATTGTGCTTCCTTTCCTGCATTTTGGGACAGTGATGTGTATCCCGTGCCATTGTATGTTAGAAGTATGTGATCTGCTTTTTGATTTTGATTTTTACAGGTGATTACAGTTAAGAGATTGCATGAATCTCAGAAGACTTTGGACTTTGAAACAAGTTTGGGACCGTGATGGGCAAACATTTGAAGTTGGACTGAATACATATTTTTGCATTGTGATATGGCTGTAAGCCTTTGGGGGCCAGGGAATAGAATATGGTGGTTTGAAAGAAAATGGCCCTCAAAGGGAGTGGCCTCCCCTTGTTGGAGGAAGTGTGTTACTTGGGGGAGAGGGGAGTAGACTTTGAGGTTTTTTTCTCAAGCTTCTAGTGTGACAGTTGTTAGACTTCATGTTGCCTGCCAGATGTAGGACTCTCAGTCACTCCAGTAGCGCATCTGCCGGTATGCCAGATGACGATGGGCTGAACCTCTAACACTGGAAGCGACTTCTCATATCCATAGCTTTCCCCTCTACCTGCCTGCCTGGCCTGAGTCCACCACACCTCATACTGGATTCGCTCCAGGCCTTCTTGGGACTCTAAATATTAAGCCAGGCTATGGAACACCCCCACAACCTACCTGGCACCTCACTGCCAATGTGGCAACTACTTTTGGGCTGTCATGTCACTTTGTTTCCATACATAGTTCCTGGTGCAGCTGCCATCAGCTGTCCAAGTCCTCCATGCTAACCACCAGGTCATTCTTTTCCACAGCAAAGAGAAAGTAGTTTTCCAGTTACTCTACCAAAAGGATGGAGAGATAAGGCATTCCAAGCAGCTCCAAGAACAGCTTTCCTGGTATATTTCCTCTGCCTTCCACATTTCCACTACTCCTGAGTCTCAACAGCTGATAGCCAGAGGAGGTGAGCTACTGCAGAAGGTGACATATAAAGTCCACTAGCCCCAATAGGAGGCTGAAAACATACCCTCACACTTGTAGATCCTCCAGAAGAAATAACAAGACACGGAGTGGGACCTACTAATTGTAATGACACTGCCCTCAATGGAGTTGCCCTTAGGTGTCATGAGAGGGATTGAAACCTAAAAAGATACAGAAATGCTGAATCGAGTTTGGGTCTGTAGGCTAGGGGAAGCTGTCCTAGTATTTAAAACGTCACATTAAGTTCAAAGAAAGCCACTGTGCATCCTGAGCTAAAGATTCCGGAGGGGGGGGGGCATGGCAGAGGGGTTGTACAAAGAAAAGAAAGGACCCTGGGCAGAAGCAGAGCGGGGAAGCACCTGCCAGTGCCTGTCAAGATACAGCCCTGACTTTGGGGAGCTAGAGCTCCCAGCTGCTGTCCAGCTGAAACACGCCTGGGTTCTCCTCGCTGTGGACACTGGGTAATCACCCTATGATTCACACCATCGGTAAACAGGCAACTTGGACAGTAAGGAAAATCATCTAGGGTAAAAACTCGGGGTGGGGGGACCAAGAGTGCGCACTCAGAGCACACCGGCAGACTAGCAAACGACGTGACAGCCCAAGCCACTGCCCCGAATGCAGTCAACCTTTACCCCTGAAGCAGAGGGCAAGAGCAAGGTTTCTGGACCACACACTGCCTTCTCCTGGAGTCACCATGCCTCAGTGGTGCCCACCCCCCTGTTCATACACCAGAACTAACAGGCCGTGGCACCCCTCACTGCCTGGGCCAGATGCAGTCAGAGCATGCCTGTAGTCTAGGTAACCCGTGCTGGGGGCCCAGATCCTGTGACTCCCACGCTGGCAGGCGCGATCCTGGTTGCAACACTAGGTTAAAGTTCAGAAGCTGCCTGGTGAAAACCGCCCAGGGATCAGCGGCACCTTTTCTGGCAGATAACCCCAGCGAGGAGAGAAAACACTTGATGTGCTTCTGAGCTGTCCTTCCTTCCAGCAGCCTGGCTCTCCAAGGCCCCTAACCAGTCTTTCCTGTACTGATCCCCAATTACAACTGGATTAACGGAATCTTAAGAGTTTTCCAAAATAAACAAAGATCCCATGCTCTATTGTCCAGCATGTTGCTTCACCATCTAACTTATTTTTAGTTAAATAAACTGCTGGCCACCCGATGATTTTAAAGGGAAACTCACAGGAGAGTATCTCCTAGACTGCTCTCAAGAATCCGGGTTCAGCATCCACCAAGCAGACCCAAGATATGGTAACTAACTGAATCGGCCCTGAGCCCAGCGCTAGCAGGCAGGAAATGGATTGTGAACTCTTGCTAAGGGGCCTGAGCTTTGTCCTCTAGTCAAAACATTCACTGGATCTAGAATCTTTAACTAAGAATCCCATAGCAAGGGGCATCAAAACACTCAGAGGGAAGATTTGTGGCCAGGTTTAACTGGTTTAGAGGAAGCAGGAATAGGACCCCTACAGATGGAACCCGTGCTGTAATTAGAGCTAGTAATGGGCTTCCCAGGCAAAAGCAAAACTCAGCAAAGGAAACAGAAATACCTTTGTTGCTGGCTCCAAAACACCTCAATGTGGTCACGCTTTAGGTGGAACAAGACAAGCTCAGATTCCTTAGAGGAGGGCGTAAGGAATGGAGCAATCGCTGTGGGCTGTGGGTTGGGACAGGGATCGTGAGACAAAGATTTGACTCAGAGGAAAACAGCTGAGTCTCCTCTGGTCTTCACATACCCTCTCTACTCCATCTCCTTCCACATAGTCCCCTGGGCAATCTCACCCACAGCTTCGGCTGCTGCCTGACTCACAGGCCTTATCTCCAGACCTGCCTCTTTATCCTCAGTTCCAGGTTCCAACACTGCAGTAATTTCCTCCACTGCACCAACTAGCTACCCCAATTCACTACCTTCTCCCCTCTCCCGTCTGAGCCTCCTTCTCATCTCCTATCAAAAGGTGATACCCAAACGAGACAGCCTGGGCCTTGCCCTGACTTCCTCCTCCTTAGCTGCATCCCAGACCAACTGGTTATGTTGTCTACTCCATCTTAGACTCCACACCTCCAGCATCCACTCCACCTTAGACTCAGGCCCTTACTATTCCTGTTAACCTTTTACCCAGTCTCCCAGAATCCGGCCTTGGCGCCGGCTGAGCTCTCATTGCAGGTGGGTCTTGTTAAAACAGCCTTCTGCAGAAAGGATCTTTGCTGATGAATACACACAAAACCCTCCATCTCAAAAAGAGCCACAGACAAAAAGGCTTAGGCTTTGCCCCAAGGCCCTGAGCCTTTGTACGTGCAGCATTTTAAAATGTTGATTTGAAGAGCTCATCATGTTCTTAGCAAGACTAGTTAAGAAAAGAAGCTGCCAGATGGTGCCTGTTGTAAGTGACACCCATGGGTAGGTCCCTCATAACACCTGACTTGGAATACCGCCCCCCTCTCGTTTCCTGCCCCTGCTCTACTCATCAGTAATTAACTTCAGCTCTGCACAGGAGATTTTCAAAATGAAGCCTATGGTACTTCCAGCTAGTAACACTCGGGTATGGACGGCTTGATTGCAACCGAATGGATAGCTCCCTCATCCTCCTCAGTGTCTGGACTTGTGACCTCCTGGTGATACTGACTCTCCTCCTGCTGCAATCTTGTTGGGGGGGGGGTGTATTTGGTGATGTGCGTCAACATTTTTCATGGACATAACCTGGCCCTGGCAGGGGAAGGGCTGCTAACACTAGAACTTAGTGAGTGGAGGTCAGGAAGACTGTGGATGACCAAAAATGCAGAGAGCAGGACTCGACCTGCAGCACTGTACAGCTCAAGGTGCCCAGTGCTAAGACTGAACACCCTAAGCACAGCCCTCACCCATGTACACCCCAACAGTCCTTCTTCCATGAAAGGAAAGGAAGCAGCCACTTACTACCTCCAATGCCAGGCTCACTCGGAAAGGATCATGTCGCATGACTGTTGACCTCTCAGCCCCTTCCTCAAGCTCCTTAAAGGCCATTGTTGTCCCCTTATGCAACTATAATGCCCCAAACCCCAAGGTCTCAGTGACTAATACGGAAGGAAAAAGAGACTGAGTTTGATTACAGCCAGGAGTAATGCTATAATACATGAGAGAACCCTGCCCACCACCAGTGCCTACAATGCCACTTATTGACACAGCTTACTGGCATGTAACAGAAAGACAGAGTGTCAAGGCCTGCAAGACGGCTCAACAGGAGCAGCCATTTGTCTCCTAATCCTGGTGGTCTGAGTTGGGTCCCTGGAACCCACATAAAGAAAAGTGGAAGGAGAGAGAAAACTCCATAAAATTGTCCTTTGAGCTCCACACAACCCCTGGATTCTGAACACAGGTCTTACACACACACACACACACACACACACACACACACACACACACACACGTGTAAAACTGCCTGTAACTGCCAGAGACCTTCTCGGGCACCTACATTCAAATACACAAACATACACATAATTCAAGTGCCTTTTTTTTTTTAGACTAAATACATCTTCAAAACTGATTTTCAGACGTGATTGCTCTTTGTTTCAGATGTCTTAATAAAAATAGACAGTGAGGTAAAGTGACCACACCTTTAATTCTATCACTTGGGAGGTAGAGGCAGATGGAGTTTTGTCAGTTTGAGGCCAGCTTGGTCAATGTATCAGTCTCAGGAAAGTGAAGGTTACATAGAGAGAGTCTATCTCAAAACAACCCAACAAAAAACAATAGGGTGAAGAGTGGAGGAGGTAGCTCAGTGGTGGAGTGTTGATAGATTGCCTGAGGCCCTTGGTTCAGTCCCTAGTACACGTATGTAGACACACACACACACACACACACACACACACACACAGTCTTTATTTTTTTATTGTAGCTTGACTCAATTGAAGAATTGCCTTCATCAGACTGGCCATGTACAGTCATGTCTGTGAGAGATTGCCTTGCTTGAAGGTTGATGAAGATGGTCCCAGAGCATTGTGAGCAGCAGCATCCCTAGATAGCTGGGCCTGGGCTATAGAAGACAGCTCACTGAGCACAAGCCAGAGAGTCAGCCAGTAAGCAACATTCCTATATGATTTCTGCTTCAACTCCTGCTTGAACGCCTGTCCTAACTTCTCAAGGATGAATTGTGACCTGGGAGTATGAGCCAGGTAAAGCCTTCCCTCCCCCAAATTGCAATTGAAAAGATTATTTTTATCAAAGTAACAGAAAAGCAAACTAGAACAGAAATTGGTACCAGGACAGTGAAGTGTTGCTGTAAGGAACCTGGCCATGTTGTTTGCTGGAAGATTGTGGAAATATTTGAAACGAAACGTTGACCTGGAAAAGCCATTGGGTACTCAGAACTAAGTGAGCTCTTCTTTGGAAGCTAAGAATGTTGAGGGAAATACAGACAATAGAAGCCTGGCTTGTGACATTGCTAAGAGAAACAAGGACTATCAGGACCATATTTGTGTGATATTTTTAATTAAGAGTTTGTGGTAGCGAGAATCAGCAGCGATGAGCAAGAAAGTACCACCACTGAAATGAAACTTTCTGTAATTTACTGGGACAATGGATGCTGGTCAGATGGATCTGCAAAACCAGCTGTGATTAATAAAAGTTCGTTATCTCTGGAGTGTAAACTTCTGTGCCCCATTGGGACAGTAAGGGGGTATTTCCTCAAGATCAGCACACAGAAACTATAGTCCAAAGAGTCCAGGAATGTGCATCAACCTGGCAGCAGAACTTAGCAAATAATGTATAAGAGTCTCCCATGTGGTACTGGCTTCAAAGACATAAAGGAGTCATGTAGAGCAGCTGAGACTTGACATCTCATGGCAGTGTTGGAGCCATTACAGAAGATGAAGCTTTGGTTGCTGTATAGGCCCTAGGATACTGAAAATGCCAGGACCATGAGATATCTATAAGGATGGTAGCAAGTGCAGAGTAGAGCCATCCTGAGCCTGAGAGTGTGTGGTATGGATGGCAGAGCTGGAGAGGTGAGACTACCCAAGCCCTGTGGAACCCAGAAGATCCTGAGCAAACTCCAGATGCCAGAGAACGAGCTATGGAATTGTATTTACACTTCTAATTTAGGGCAGGGGGCAGGTTTGCTTTAGCTTGATTGCTTCTATGCTCTGGCTCTTTCCTATAACACCTTTAAAAATTATTTTTATTTTACAGGAGTCAACCCTCTATAACTCCAGTTTCAGAGCATCTGACACCCCCTTCTGGCCTCCAAGAGCACCAGGCATGCAAGGGGTATATACATATATGTATACACACACACATATATAACAGGCAAAAAACTGATACACATAAAATAAAAATAAATCTTTGTTTTAAAGTTGTATTATATTTTATATTATGATATTAACATTAGAGCATGGAGACAAAACAAGAACGAAAACTTATGGTTTAATGGTGATGTGCTTGTGTGTCGAGTTCACAAGTGGTGTAAACGTGGTTTTTTATTGTCTGCTGATACAATTTGAGTCACCTGGGGCTGGGCAGCGTGGTGCATGCCTTTAATCCCAGCACTGGGGAGAAAGGGAGAAGTGGATCATTATGAGTTCAAGGTCAGCCCGGTCTACAGAAAGGATTGCAAGATAGCCAGAGCTACACAAAGAAACTCTGTCTCAAGAAGAAGAAGAAAAGAAGGAGGAGGAGTCACCTGGGGAAAAGGCCCTCTTTTGAGGAATCCCCTAAATCAGATTAGCCTATGGCCATGTCTATGAGATCATCTAGATTGTTAATTAATGGATGGTTCAGCCATGCTACAGGCAGCACCATCCCCAGCAAGTGGGCTCAGGCTGTATAAGAAAGCTACATTAGCATGAATCATAGAGAAAACCAGTAAGCAGCAATCCTCTGTGTTTTCTACTTTAGGTCTCTGCTTTAAGTTCCTGCCCTGACATCCCTCACTGATGGACTGTGACCTAGAAGAATAAGATAAAAAGAAACACTTTCCTCTCATAAATTGTTTCCCTCGTGGTTTTTGTTACAGCAACAGGAAACAAACTAAAACAAATGTACTTTTAAATACCAAGAAAGTAAAGTAAAATAATAGCCAGGCATAGTAGCATAAACTTTTAATCCCAGCACTCAGAAAGCAAAGGCAGGTGGATTCCTGTGAGTTCAGGTTGATTTACACAGATAGTTCCAGGACATAGGCTACATAGAAAGACCCTGTCTCAAAATTAACTAGTTAGTTAATTAATTAATAGAAGATTTTCTGGATTACACAGCATGCTGAGAATATATATATATATATATATATATATATATATATATATATATATATATCCCAGTTATTCAAGAGGCTGAGGTAGGAAGATTTCAAGTTCAAGTCCCATGTGTGCAACACAGACTGTGTCTCAAAGAAATCCAAAATAACCCATAAAGCTCTCTTCTGCAAAGTGAAGCTAATAGTACCCATTTCATATGATCCAGGGAGAGTTCAATGGCAAGCATGTGCATACAATGAGCTTGACCTAGAGTTAAGTGCCCACACCTGGGAGGACGGTCCACACCACTGTTCAGTTCCATCTGTCCTCTGAGGCCTCTTGGTCTCTAGCCAGGAAGCCCTCTTTTGCAGACAATTACCATCACCTTAGAAGATAGCCATCGCTCTCATGGAAAAACCTTTCAGACTAGGCACTCCAAGAAATCACATGCTTTGGACACTTTTAGTAAAGATAGCA